TCTAGGGTTCAGAGGGGGAAGTCGCTGCGCGCCAGAGCCATTGAGCCTGACCCTGGGGTTGTCACCGCGTTCCCAGGACACGGAAGGGATGTCGCGGTAGGCATGGTGTCTGCCCTGCGTGTGATGCTGACATGGTCCCGCGTGCGGACGTGTCCATCAGACAGGGCCCCTGAGGGATTCGGTAGCGTTGGCAAATCTCCAGGCACCTTGGAGAAGACAAGGTTGGCACCAGGATACTTTGCTTTTAAAGGTCAGGATTCAGCCTTTGAGCTGGGTGTGTTGGTGCACGCCTGTAACCCAGCACTTGGGAGACGGAGGCAGAGGATTGCTAGGAGTTCGAGGCCAGCCTGCACTAAATAGCAAGATTCTGTTCTAAAACAACAACAGAAACGTCTTTAGAATGGCAGTTTGTTAGGCAGATAGCCAGGGGAGTGGCAGAAAACTCCAGTGATGTGAATTCTGTCACTCATCATTAATCATGTGGCCAAAACGTCACCCCTCGTGCCCTTTCCGGTTTTGGCTAGGTCACGTGCTATTCTGGTACTAACTTAATTCTCAATGTCCTGCGCTGCCCAGGGGCAGCTTTTGCGCGGTGCGATAGTTGCCCTTCTGCACCCACACAGCAAGAGCACCGCAAGACTAGAGCGCTGTACCCTTCCGGGCCACATGAGCTCTGCTGAGAAAGTGAAAGTTCATTTTTAAAATGCCCTTTTTAGCGGAACTCCCCGCTTTGCAGTTGATGGCGAAAGTTTTTTGATTCCATTAGCACTTAAAAGCTCTTACACTGCTCTCTTACCAAATGGTATTTCGATGTCTCAACAGTAAAATAACTCTTCTGCAGGCCGACCAGTGCTCGAGTCTGCAGGGCTTCCTGGTTTTCCGCAGCTTTGGCGGGGGCACCGGCTCCGGGCTCACCTCCCTGCTGATGGAGCGTCTCTCCGTTGACTATGGCAAGAAGTCCAAGCTGGAGTTCTCCATTTACCCAGCCCCGCAGGTCTCCACAGCTGTCGTAGAGCCCTACAACTCCATCCTCACCACCCACACCACCCTGGAGCACTCTGACTGTGCCTTCATGGTAGACAACGAGGCCATCTACGACATCTGTCGGAGAAA